TTGTTCAATAAAATAGCTAATATAAAAGATTGACATAATAAAAGAAATATACAAAAAAAAACGCAATGTGTGCACTACTGTGTACAAATAAATGTGTCTCGACATGGAAAGTGGAGGCAACTTTTGTAATTTTCACGTGAAATTAAAATTGCTCACTGCTAGATGAATTTAATATGTCGTATTAAGTGCGTTTTCACAGTTCGTTGATTAAAGTAGATTGGAGTATACATACAGTGAGTAATTTTAATGTTTGGACGCTATACAGTTTTCACTTTGTCACACTGTCAGCTTGTTAAAAATGAAGAAAAATATATTTTGCTTGTACAGGGTGAGCTAGATGAAATATAACAAGCCGTTTTCGTTGAAACCACTGTAAATATTGACTCGAATGTTTTCTATATTGAATCAGACAGGGGGATTAATCATTTGGAATAAGGAGGAGCTCTTAACACTTCGCTGACCGGCTATTTCGGACCAAAAATATCCCGTACTATTTTTCCGCAATTGAATTATCCGTTACACATTCTCTAGCTATTTCTAGCAGGAAATTTTCTTTTTTTTTTTGTAACTTATAGTTGCAGTAAATTTTGAATGCATTGTATAGGGCACAATATTTATCAAAAGGCTACATTTTAAACAAGTTAACTCGTGACAGTAAAGTGTTAAGAGGCCAAAGGAGCCCCCTTCATTTTTTACAAATGGAATTACGTATTTTTTTATTATTATTATTCAGATAGCTGTTATCGAACTTAGTATTAGGTTGGTAAGAAATTAATGTCGGTTTTTAAACTTCATCTTTAAATCCACAGATCTCGACTTAGAATAAACTTTTTTAGCCAAAATAAGATCCATCGCAATCACCACATTTTTGTCAACAAGAAATGAGCTTTTTAATTCCAATAGCGTAAATTGCTGGTGTTCTAGAATTGATGAATTCTTTGAATGCATTCTCAGCAGCAGCTTGGTTGGCGAAGATCTTCTCTTACAAATAGTGGTCGGGGTGTTTGAAAAAGTGGTAGTCGATTAGCGATAGGTCCAGGGAATATGCTGGATGAGGCAGAGTTTCATAGCTCAATTCGTTCAACTTTTGTAGCGTTAATTGTGCGATGAAAAGAATTGCGCCCTTACAATTGGCCAATGTTGGCTTTAATCGTTGCAATTTTTTATGCATGCGCGTCCATTCGCGGCATCTTGTTCAAATGCATCGTTAATATTCCGAGTCGTTTCCGCAATTTTATGACCTAGTTTATACTCATATAAGGAAAATAATAAAATTTGCTTCCTATTCATCCTGAAGTGAATAGTCCTGAAGTGAACACAAATTAACAGTGAAAACAAAAGCATACCTACCAGCGTGTAGAGCAACATCAGCACTATAAAATGATATTATAACATAAATAGAAGAAGTAATTGTTATCTCAAAACTAAGTGTCAAAGTTTGAAAACTCCAAAACCGACGTTAATTTCTTACCAACCTAATATCATTTACTTGAAACATATCTCTTTATTCTGCATAATTAAAGAGTTATGGCGAAAAATACTCTCTTCAAAAGATACCGGGGTGTCGAAAGATGGATACTGATTTAACGTAGAGTTTATTTTAAGAGTTTGTTTTAAAAGAATGTATATGGTAGAATGATATTTTTAGCGACAAAAGTGAATTTAATGTTTGGATCAAGGAGAAAAATTAAAAATACAAAATCAAATGTAGAGTATGGAGATAGAGATGTACTCGTATGGAGATGTATTTCAACATTTGGAGTGGGTGTTTTTTACCGGCGATATAATGGATAAAAGAAATGAAAAAAATGGAAAAAAATACGTCAATATTTAAAAAACAATAGTTTACTCAAAAGTGCAATGAGAATGGGGATTTTAAATAAAATTAAATTCTACAAGTATACAAGAATATATTATATTACTTATACAAAAATATTTACTATATACAGCCGTCACCACATAACCAAACTTAAATCCTATCGAGAGTTTATGTGACGAATTATATGGACGAATTAGAAAAATTACGATAATTAAAAAAGGAAGTTGGAAGCAGGGAACAATGGTTGCAAAAAGTATGGAGTAACATTGACAAACAAATATTCAAAAAAAAAAATAACTTGCAATATGTATAACTGCTTGAAAGAAGTAGTTCGTCGAGGATATTCGACAAAATATTAAATCACTTCTTGTTTTTTGAAAATTAGAAAAAAATTAGAAGTTGTTAGAAGTATCTGAATATTATTATAACATGAAAATCATAACATATTTTGTCTAAAATAGATTATACTTTTCGTAACTGAAATCTGTGCCGCAGTTTAATATGCAACCAAATATGTTTCTTCTTTATCATAGACAAAGTTACAGTGCGACAAAATAAAAATTGCATAAGCAGTGTCCGAATATTAAAGTTGCTCGTTGTTTGTTACACCGTATTCAGGCAATTTATTCTAAAGCACGGTTAGCTGAATGCTGGATGTGTGACGGTCAGGAAACATGGTAATAGTTTTTTTTTTTTTAAAGAAAATTCGCAAATTATTGTGTTTTGATGTAAAACATAAGAATTTATTTTTACTTGTGAGAGGATCTACAGGGTGTTTCGTAAAGAGTGTAACACCCGGAAATGGGGGGTTGCTGGGGTGACTTTGAACAACTTTTTCCTTTACCAAAACGTTGGTTGAAGCTTCGTTTTTGAATTATTAACGAAAAACACTGGTCAATCAGAGATATTTCACTGTATTGAGATAAAACAGACACTCTGTATATATACAAATGGGAGAATTCGCGGTTAGTCCGTCCCTCTGATGGCAGAACGTAGGAGATATCACTACACTTGCATTACTGATATATCGTGAATTTTTTAAACAAACTTTTGATGAATTTTTCCATTACTTTTACGTAGACTAGAAACAATTTTCTTTAAAAGCGCAGGTAAAAAAAACAAAAATGATCATAGAACAGATGTACCACGCAGAACACAGAAAATAATTTAAAAAAAAGGATCGATACGAAATATGGTAGAAATGTATCGTTGGTCATAAAAGATAACTGCACGCGCTATTCCGTTTAACATTCAAACAGACAACCATTAAAATCCTGTAAATTTGTAACAATGGTGCGCTGTAGTCAATGTATGAATTATGTTTTACAAACGAACTTTGAAACACTAATCGAAATAAAATTTGAATGTATCTCCCTGAAATTTAAAACTATAGAGAACATGTAGAAACTGAATTCGACCTGTAAAAAGTTCAATTTTCTTTCACCGAACTGAAATTTTTTTGAAACTATTAAAATTATTCTATCTCTGTTGGATTGTATACAACAGTAAAACTTTCAAAATAAGGAATGACATTTTTTCATCGTTACCATTATTAATAAGAGACTATCCGATTTGTAACAGTTTTAAAGGATGAACCGCAAAGTTACGACCATTTAGATCGATGCTCCTATTAATTTTTCAATCCACGCAAAAATTAATAATACATGACGAATAGAATGAATTTTCACGAACAGCAACTTATATTTTGTGGAGCAATAAAAATTTACCGCATTTAAATCAAAATCAGGATTAATTCATGCCCATTAATTATTGGGTTGACCCGAAAGTTCGTGCTGATTTTCGATAAGCAGTGTTTGAATAAATAAAATGCGATGAAAACATATGAAGTTCGTATATGTTCTGGAAGATTCTTTTTTCACATGTCTTTTGAAAGTCTATTCGTTATAATACTACTTTCTTCACGGAGTTATACTGTTTTGAAGTTGGAAGAAATTAGAGTACATTTCCGACACTTAACGTTTTCCTTTTACCAAAAAGGGAAAAATTCCATTGAAACAGCAAATGAGGTATGTAACGTTTACGGAGAAAGTCCTCTATGAGAAAACATTGTTCGTAAATGGTTTGCAAAATTTAGAGATGGAAATTTCGATTTTAGAGAAGATAACAAAATTTTTAATTCTCGCAAGATGGCGAAAAGTTGTAGAACAAAATCGGTAAATATCTTATACAATAAAGGAATTATTGCTTTAAAGTATGGAATTTACTTATTTACTTAAAAATCGGCATGAATTTTCCGGTCAACCCAGTAAAGCATTTAATTGAGCGAATAATGCGATGATGTAAACTGGTCAGTATATTAATTATTTCGGTACAATATACCAATATTCTGAATTTAATTACGAAAGTTACCATCAGTTTTCGAGTACCACGCGAAATTTGTATTCGTGAAGAAGCAACTCATGGAAATTCAGCAAAAGTATCTGTTAGGGGAGAAGCATCTGTTATTTGGAAACAATTACCATTGAGCCCTCACGTTATGATAAAATTATCGGCTTGAATTGACCGCAAAATGTACATTGCGTTGATGCACGAGCCAGCATGATAACCCCACCATTACATACGAATTAGGTAGATTATTGCGTAGCAACATTTCATTGCACAACACGCATACACGAGCTTTCTCTATAAAATGATGTTTTTCGTACCTTTTTCCTTCCAATTATGTCCAAAGCTGTGTTATCATAAAAATTCAATTTTCCAAACAATGCTGAAGTTTACACATATATGGAATCTTTGGAGCCGCGAGAGTGATTAAAAAGTTCTGTAAAAGGAAGCCTAACGGTCGATGTATGTACGTGTTATCGTACAATGGGCTTTTTAGCGATCCTTAAACCGGGAAAAGTAACGCAATTATCCCTAATCATTGTAATTTTCTCCATAAATAAGGAGATCGTTTTCGAGCGTACTTCTGTCTTCTCTTTTCACCGTACCACAATCATTGTTATCTAAATTTTATCTTGGCCTCTCACCATCGAAGCTGAGGAAATACGTGTCCGGAAGTTGTTGCACGCGACTGCATATTCAGGAATACTTCTTAGGGGGAAAAAATTACACCACGTTATTTTCTTTTTTTTTTCTGTTTTAATTAAAAAATACCGTACAAAAAATATAAACTTCCGCTAAAATGGGGAAATGAGAAGGATGTAAGCTCCTATGATCCTCATACGAGCCGCTTCACGTGATCCGTTTTCTTCCGTGAACTCTTGATGAAACCAAGGAACTCCAGCTCGGCGACCGCTTGAGTAAAACGGGCTCTAAATCTCCGTTAAGGATACTATAGTGCACGATAAAATTCACACGAGAACACGTGTGAATTATTCAAACTACAGGTATGCGATCCCGACGAGTTACCACCGTGAAGCTCCAATTCCACCATTACTGAGCTATGATATGAATTTCAAACGCAACGCAGTTAGACAAATCTTTGCACGCCCCATTATTCCTGGACTATTTGAACGTGAGAAAACCTCTAAATGAAAAAGGATACTGCAATTTCGGGTTCACGTCTCGTTGTTCCTTTGCGTCGTTTCCTGGATCCACGATAATTAAAAATGCCTGTAAAAAAATATGCAGTTTTTACGCATAAATCTCTTACATGAAAATTGGCAAATCAACCTATTTCTTTTTTCAGTTTAATTAGCTCAAGTATTTTCTTTTCAGATATGAAATTAAGTTACCACTGTACAGGGTGGAGAAAAGTGTACAAAGTAGTCATTGAGCATTTTCAGCGTAAAAAGCCATACCTTGAAGGCAAACGGAATTCTGCTGACCTATTAAAAGCCAACCTTTTTACGTGAATGTAGCTTAACACCTTACGAACCACCGACGACGTCCGTGAAAATGGAATTCCCAGAAAATCCTCGTATCTCCATTCATTCCTTCATTTCACGACATAATTCTTTAAAAATGTTTGAATTTCTGATTCAAAGGGTAATGAGATAAAATGCTCTTAGAAACAAATTCAACGAAATAATTGAAATGCTTGTTTACTCCGGAGTATTTTACGTGATGAAATATCTCTTCTTTTCGTATAACATTTTTGTTTTTAATGTTATCTCAACCGCGGAATGCAAAATAAATCGATAGGATATAAACCAAAACAGAAATTTATATTTATATTTTCCACCTCGATGTAGAAAAATAAAACGTATCGATGTGTATTCATGAATAAACAAACGCGTCAATTTTTATTATAACCGTGATTTAAGATTGCACACTGTCCCAATATCCAGCCATCGTAATACGTACACAATTTACATTCGCATAAAGGTGTCTATACCCAACTTTCGCAAATTGAATCAAAATTACGAGTCTAAGATTAATACCTGACGTATGAGCAATTTATAACTTCAGCTTTAAAAAACCACCTATCTTACTTTGTTTGCTACTTCTCATAACTTCGCGTGATTTAGAGATCATTTCACCTTTCTGACTTTGATTCGCTTTTATTCGTACAGCCGCTGAATTTTCCAGGCTTTCAACGACAGCAAGAAAATGAAACGTCCCTTTGCTCCTGTCCGCGCACCCTATTTATATACAATGTATAATGCTCGCATGAATCAGCCTCAAGACCGATTAAAATCACGAAACAGACGACCGCCCTGCGTGACCATACGTGTAACTAGGATTAACCTGTAAACACCAGCACGAACGGATTGTTACCTGCAGCCAGTCGTACATATTGATCAGCTTTCTGGATTCCAAGTGCAGCTTGTAAATTATACTGAGGTCGGGCAGCGTGGACAGAATGGCGTCGTCGTTCACCAATTTGCAGCACTCGCACTGAAATATGTATTTCCAATTAACTTCGACGCGCACGACAGAGCCTCGACATCGTGCCCCATCAGGAAAAATCTATAATCGATATCCGACCACTGATGGCGAGGCTCGATAGCACAGGAAGAATCAAAAGCCACAATGAACGGCGGGAACAGAAGAGAGACGCTCATTGAAGTCGTGAACCTTCTAGACGAAGCAATTGAATGGGGATTACGACCACATCTTGACGAATTATATCTCGAACAGGACAAAAAGAGAATTGAGGATGCGGCGTGAACGGAGGTGATACTTTTTCCCCCGTAAGATAAATAACGAACGATGTATTTACGCGATTTTCCAGCGAGCAGTGTAACGGAGAATTGTTCTTCGATTTTTTTTTTACCGTAAAATTTGATGTATTTCATTTCCATGCATACCATTGAATGCGTGAAGCAATGAACATGCGAGGAAAACAACGTGAAAATATTCAAAATATTTTTTTAACTTTTTCCACAAACTGCAGATATTTTTAATTGCTACATTTTACAGATATTGTTTTTGTAACATTTTATGTGATCTAAACCAATTATCGCATTATTTATCGAATTTATGTGTTATTCATTCGAAGTAGAAGTAAGACTGTAGAAGCGACTTGTTCTTCACTTACGTTCAAGTAAACTTGCGGGTCATTTAATCCAGTGTGTATCGCAGCTCTTAAAGAGCCTCGAATGTGTTGCTTTGCTAAATTACCGTCGCTGAAGCAAAATATTTCATTCGCCGGCACGTGATAAGGATTGACCAAGTAAATGGCGAACATGTTTTGATCCAAATAGTTGATCGTTTCTTGTTGCGCCCGCTTATAAGGTGACCGAGATTGCTTTTGCGACAACTTCAACAATTTCTATAGCGAAAAAGAAGTAGAACATCGCAATTCCGTTATTTCTTTTCTAAATGCTGCAACAATTTAAAAGGAATTGAATTTGATTTCAGACCTCTTTCAACTGTAGTCGACTGAGTTTCTCACTGGTAGAAATGATATCTACGGGCGTTACATCAACTTCTAAACTGGCTGCTTCTATAGTTTTTATCTGATCCTGTATAACGGCTTTAATTTTCTTCATAGATGAACTCTTTGAGTTTCCGATAATTGTTACAATGGAATTCAACTTTGAAATAAATTCTACCTTCGATAGAAAGCCCAAAAGCTGCAGGCATTCTTTGTACTCGTCACATTCATGCAGATTGTTCATGTAAACTGCTTTCGTATAGTATTCACGCAGCTAGAATGATTTTTGTAATATTTCTTTTTCGTGTATAAAAATCATGCACGCTTCTCTATTTTCACATCTTTTGTGTCTATTAATTTATACCTGTTTACCCATCGGCGCATTTGGCAATGTTGACGTAAGATCATGCAGGCACCTGAGTGTTATTAAAAAGCGACGCATATATCCGTGAAATTGGACTAACAGTGTCGTCAACGTTCCCTATAAGAAATTGGCTATGATCCAATGGTATTTTTGGAGTGACTGAACGTCGAGTCGTACCTTAAAATTATTACTTTCAAGCGGATCATTTTCATTCTCACGTTCTTTCAACTGTTGAACATATTTTTCTATGGAAGGTAGCTTTTTAATTTCTTCCAGATCTGCATTTGTTAAAGAAGCTATCCTGTCTTCTATTTCTTTCTTTTGGCAGCAAAGAGAATTGACATTATTCGCGTAAAAATGTTGTATCATGCATATCTAAAAATGTAATAAAGCGAAACTGTAGTCAAAGATACCTCGCAATAGCTCACTGAACGAAAAAATTGCAAAATAATACGTAATTGAAATTAATACCTTGTAGCTTTGTAAGAAACTTTCAACAGAAAAATCGTAAAACAAAAAGATATCTGTTAGAAGTTGAAACGCGCGTCCAGTTAATTTAAAAGGAATATTTGTACAGAAAATAGTATTATTTAGAACATCTGATAAAATATTAATTTGTGTTTGCGTATGAAAAACCTAGATAAAAAGCAGTTATTATTTCATAAAAACTCTTCTATGCGTTGTTGGCATAATTCATTTATTGCTTACTTGGACGTTCAATTTTGATGTAACATCATATGTTAAAGATCTATGAATGGCATGCAAAGTGGTTGCAACACCAAAAATAAGAATAAACTTCATTGTACTTAAATATGAACTAAAAAAAAAGTAAAATCAAGAAAAGGTTGTAATATTATTATGCATACAATCAGAAGACTGTAATACCTTAGTATTAAAATAAAATCATGTAGTACTGCAGGAGAAGAACTTTCAAAGTCTGTTATTATTATAACAAGGGGATCGTCTGGCTTACAATTTTTTTGATGCCATGATTTTAAAGTTCTCATAGTACATTGACTCTTTCTAACGTGTGATTCTTCATTCTATAAATGAATGTACTATATATAGTATTCATTTTTCTTGTACTTTTGTGATATTTACTTTAATAATAAATACCTCTTCCTCGTACATTAATTGATAAATTGATTCTTCTATAATATTTTTAATATTATTTGAGTCTCTGCTCCATATAACTGCTATGTGCTCTGTTATTGGTTTCAATTCATGAACTATTCTTTCAAACATTATAGCATGATCAGATACGTTTACTCCTACAGTACAATTATTCAAAAGATGTAGTTTAGTTTAAAGCATAGTCAAGTTTATATGATTTAATGAAAAAATATGTTACACGTAATTTAATAGCAAGTTATCACCTGTTAATAAAATAGCTGTCTGTATTTCATTTTCAAGTTGCTCTATTGATTTGTCTCTAACTTTAGAAACAAAAGACTTTAAATCTTGCAAAATTTGTTGGAACATATTAGACCTTGTATCCTAAAATTTCATTAAAACTTGTTGACTCAACAAAGCATAATATCAAATTTGTACATGCGATTAACGTAAAAGCAATACCTCTGTAGCATTTTCAATGCTTGTCCATATCTTTTTATAAGCAAGATACCATGGTTCATCAAGATAATCTGGCAGTTTAAATTTTGTTTGCTTTTTTCCAATTTTATAGCTACCTTTGTGCGTAAAAACACCCTAAAAAGCATTTCAAGTTGCAAAATATTGCTAGTGAAGAACAAAGAGGACAAAGGTCTTATATAAAGTGAAAAATAAGGAAGAAAGAGTGCTATAATAATAGAATAAGCTAAACAAAGAACAAAAATAAATAGAAAATTTCACAAATAAATCATAGCCACAGGTTTAATGTACTCTAAAAAATAATAAAAACCCAAAGTGTTATTCATGAACATTAATTTATAATTAATTAAAGTGTGGTTGTCACATTATCCCGTACAGGCGTTAAGTAAACCACAAAATGTTCTAGCTAATGAGTTTACATTTTTAGGTTATGTAAGTGAAAGCAACAGGTGTACTGTACCTTTGAAACTGATACGTTATCCATTTTAACAAAGAAATAAGCACGAAGTCGTATAACTTAATGAAACTCTTGAAAATCACTTGAATATCTATAATTCACATAACCAACACTGAAAATATATACACGCACACATCACATACCGGCAATCCGATCGCAACTGTCGCTTGAGTTAATACCAAAGACGCTCCTAGAGCGCGCTAGTCATCAGCATGATATTCCATTGTAAAATAAATCATACAGTTCCTCTAAATAACTTGATCACAGCAAAACGAATCAGATTAAAAAATCTAAAATCTGTTAAGAATATTTGTAATAATTAAAAGAAAAACTGTTTCTTTCATCATACTTAAGCATTAAAAATGTTTCACAAATTAACCGATAAAAGAGTCTGGTAATATAGAAACTGCTGAAACAGTGATATAATCGCACTGATTAATTATCGCATCATTTTGATATTCACTTGTACTAGAAATTCCATTAAATTCCACATTACATTTGTATGGAGGACAATTGGAGTCAACGTGTTCGCCATACAAATAGCCGGGGCACACTTACAGGCAGTGAACAGCATGAAGCGCAACCAGAAGCGAGGGTGGAATTTTGAAAATTGGCGTGCACGAGCCGGCAAGATAATCGCGATATTCGAATTTCACGAGCGTAAGCTCGATCACGATCATCATCTGAATCGCAAATGCGCCGATTGAATTCGTCGAGGCCGAGCAAACAATCCGGAAACCGAGAGTTTGATGCCGCGTTTCCGCGTGCATTGGTCGTGGAAGGTGTTCATCGAACTTTCGTTGAACTGGCCGGGGCGAAGCGTGATACTTGCCCACCGAACTTGCCTGCCAGGAACTCGTAATTGATTTAAAGAAGTGTCCAAACAAGATGCCGCGCCCCGTACTTCGCAATGTACCAGAATATCTCTACCCTTGTATGTTCGTGTAAACGACTGTGTAACGGGCACCGGAATCGAGATTATTCCAAGCTCTCGTGGGGCACGCTTCAGCATTTCTATGCGATCCTCCAACAAGTTTGTTCGTCCCTCCCTCTTTCACTACAACTTCGAGTAGGGGTAAAAATTGCACGTGTAAATAGATTTTACATCTGATGCTTTTACCCATGTGCAATTGCGCTGGACAGGTCGGACAGGATTAATTAGGATTTGAATTTATAATTGGATTTATAAAGGGATTCTTTAAAAGCACGTACATATATTGCACAGTGAATAATAAAACTTGGGTAGTGGAAATAAAAGATATGATTTTTTTTAACTTGAGAAGTGTGAAAGATTGAACATTGTCAGATCGTTAATTGCAAAGTTTGTGAAGTAATAATTTATCAATTTTAAGTTATTTCAATTAATTTTTGGAATATCTCGTGTTAATTTGTTTAAATTCCATTTTTTATTCCATCCTGGTTTACAGTACAGATGCTCTTTCCTGGAGCTTTGAAATTAATACAGGATGCGGTAGAAATAACCGAACGATTTATTTCCTTAATAATTGAGAAACCATTGTAAATAGTGTTGCGTGGCTTTTATTGAAATTTTAGGAATAGTATCGCCACATAAATAAAAATCTGGTAAAACGCTTCATAATGATTTCCTAAGGTCTTCACTGCTTGATAGACAAAATACGATTGGCATAATAACATAATACAGAACTGTTAACCAATTGAAATCGCATTGTTACCTCTAGATTGCCCTGTGTTAGCAGAATATTGTAATGTTTTCCTTTTAATTAGCTTCACATATGAAACATTGTAATCTATGTTGTAAACATTCTTCAGAAACTTATCTACCTATGCAATATTTATTATATTCCCAGTTTATTACACTGAATAATTTCTATAGATTTCAAACGTATATTAAAAGATAGAAGCGGCGTTTCTCTGCAAATTACCAATCGTTGCAACAAAAGGAGCAAACTAATAACCAGATCCATGGATGAAACAGCACAGATGATCTAACCTACACGGATTTCAAAGCCTAATGGAAAAAAAGAAAAACATTTACCGAAGATCGAATCACTGTCGAAACGAAAACTCTGATTCCGTACGGCTTACGTTTTCGACGATCTAGTTTTTCCGTGTCGTTGCTAAGCCAGGCACTTCTGACACTTAAGCGCATGGCATGTAAACGGTAAAGCATTTTTGTTTCGTTGATAATCTTTCGGCGCGTATTTTCTTTGTTAGCCGACGCTACGAAGGAGGTTCGGAAGCGTACTTTCAGCTACAAGCTGGCGAATGGAAACGTGGAGAAGGGTTTTTGGCGAGAGAATATAAATCGATTGCGCAAGCAGCTTTGTACGAATGTTCTCGTTTTGTGGTCGACGATCGCACCTGTGCCCCAAGGGGTTCTCCGGTGGAAAATAAATGGGATTCGATCGAGGACTTAATCATCCGCCTTCGTTGAAAGGGACGTCTGGGACAAAATGATGCAGAGATCAAGGGACCTATTGATCGTACAATGGAACATATTTGTCTAGATTTTTCGATCGTGGTACGCGCGATTCGTCGCCTCGAATGAATAACGTCCTCGCTTTGATTTGTTGTTATTTTCTATTGCTCTGGTTAAGCGTAAAACGCGGATTGTATTTATAATACAAACTTCGGCGATAGATTTCTTGTTTGATTCGTTTTCGATCATGGAAGTCGAACGACATGATTCAAAATAATCAACTGACTCTTTTCGTACTTCTGAACGAAATAAGGAGTACATAGCAAATTCGAGTTGTACAATATGCAAATAAGGATATCCACTTATTTTTGAAAATGGGGGATTCCAAACCACAATTTTTCGAATACCACGCACTAAAATTTTCAAGAGAAGCCAAACATGAAGAGATTTATTTTACTTAACTATTATTCAATTATTATTCAGGAAGATGGTGTATATGTACTAGGTTGTCCGGAAATAAATTGCGGTTTTCTGTTATGTCATATTTAGGGCTTTTCTATACTGTATATTTTAAATTTATGTTTATTAAGTAATATACCATTCGAACGCGTAGACGTCGCTCTATCATATAAGCGATACACTTTTGTCTTTCACCGTCATTTGTTCTGAGTATAACTTAAAAACGTAACAATGGACAAGAAGCAGATTCGTACCATATTTTTATATGAATTTAAATTAGGACGTAAAGCCGCGGAAACTGCCCGCAATATCAATCGTGTATTCGGTGAAAGCACAACTAATGATTATAATGCATAAAAAGTTATTTGTTGAACAACCAAGTTTGGTAAATCGTAAGGGACTAATACTCCGACACGATAACGCCCGCCCGAACGTATCACAATTCGGAAGATACACGAATTCGGTTCTGAAACATTAAAACACCCTCCTTATTCCCCCGACTTATCCCCTACAGATTACCATTTTTTAAACATTTGGATAACTTTTTGCGAGAAAAAATCTTCCGTAATAAAGAGGATGCTGTAAATACCTTCGTGGAATTTATTAATTCTAGAACTCCTGATTTTTATTGAAATGGAATAGGAACTCTTGTAAAACGTTGGAAAAAGTGTATAGAATCTAATGGAAATTATTTCGATTAAATAAATTCATTCTAAGCAAAACTACGCGTCTTTAAATCTCCTGTACAGAAACCGCAATTTATTTCTGGACAACCTAATACAAATGAAATTGTAGAAATGAGTATTTTGAGCATTTATTGGTACAAAATAATAATTTGTAGTTTTTAAATTTTATTTCTTCCTTTGAAGTGGGATTCTTCTAGGATTGTTCTAATATAAAAATTGGCACTTATAACGTTATGGTATGGAACCTTTCAAATACTGTTTCTCAAATGAACCCGAACGTGTATACAAAACATGTTTTACCCGTGTTTTTATAAAAAAAAAAAAGAAAGAAAAATAAAGCTGTAGTAATGTCAGTAATAAAAGAATTAACATTTGTTGATGCATGTTTCAATATTGATTGAAGTCACTCGATTATTTTGTGTAATAAAATATATTTTAACCTATCTCTAAGAAACGTGAGTTAACTCGTTATTGGAATGACTTAACACTCCGTAGGCAAACTAGGTCGTTTATGTGTAAGCATAATTTTTTTACTATTTTAGGCTTTCGAAAAATGTGAAGAAATTCTGGGATACTTATAAAAGTCTCTACTACATTATGCAGTTATTTCGTTAAGTCAAATGTTTGAAACTTTTTTCATTGAAAATACAAATTCGTTTTGAAGAAATACAAGAGTGAAATTTCACTTGGGTCGTCAACGACCCAGGTTGCCTACGGAGGGTTAAAACACAATAGGTTATTTATTAGAGATTCCTTATTTCGAACTACGTATACCGTTATGTCTACATTAAACAAATCAATGGGTTATAATTTTTACTCTTTTATTATTATACACTAGAAAGATTCAATGTCTGTTTAAGGACATTATTAGATCGGTGTAATATGAAATTTCGAATCATTCTCAAATTAATCGCTCAAAGTGATTACTTCAGTGTTGAAAAGTTCTGAATTTTTTCGTGTTAACTTAAAATTAATACAATTCTTGGTAAGTTACTGTTAGGGATTGGGTTTATGACATGGACGCCTGTTTACGCTATTTTTGAATGCGCCCCTTTTTTCTTCGCGTTAATTAATTTTTCTTTCAAATTGGCCAGGAAGCATTTTATGGCTGCAGAAAAATTAATTTTCTGCGGGCCACATACCTTCTTAGTGCCCATTCGTGAACATTCAACAGACATTGACATGTCATGAAACCTTTCGCGTCTCTCTGACCGCCCAAAGTCCCGTTACGAGCGGGCTACCCTTGGGCCTCACTCCCCGCCATCGCGACATACCACCACCCTGCCAACTTGGAAATTCCAGGGTGGGCGGCATGCTCGCGGGCCAGGGAGGACCGTCCAAGGGGGTAGACCCGTTCCCATTGTCGGAGACCACCACTTCCTACCCATACACTTTTTTATAAATAAGCGCACCAACGCGGCACACGGACAGATCAAAAGAAGGGAATAGACAAGTAGGACGCAACGAATACACACACCACATAAACTACCACTCTTCACAATAAAGCCTTTTTCTTTTAACAT